TATAATAACTTTTAAATTAAAAAAATAAGACCAAACAAATTCTAAGTGTTAACTGCACTCTTAATATGATAATATTGTTTTGTTTTACCGTGCATTAATTATTATTAATATTTATTTTGGAAAGATATGGTATGATTAGCATTAAATACAAAGTGGTAAGCTTTTCCTTTTGGTCACATGCTTCCTCTAGTTTTACTCGTGCAAATAACAAGTAAAACAATCTCCATTAATGATAACACAAGATCTACTTGGAAAGATTCGGATTTCCTAAAATCCGGTACAACTGTCCCATGGCTCATCCCCCGTCTGCCAAAACTTTGACGGACGCAATTACGTCAATACGGATCACTCTACGCAACCCAATAATATAGCTACCGTATATACTAACAAAAATCTAGAATCTTCTACCGTTGCACGCGCGACTAACTGTCTCACGAGCCAATCATGTGATACCAACCTTCCGCCGACATCCACGTGTCAGTCCATCAACCTCGGTGACACCCACTGCATGTGACTTTATCAGTGCCCCCACCTCTTTTTCCTTGAAAAATCAGAACCCTTCCAACTTCAGACCCTGCCAAGTTTTTTCTTGCAATGGCTTTTCTTTGCTTTCTTCCTCCCGACGCCGTCTAACCCTTTTGTTTTTATTACTGGAGAAGAAATATCCCCAATTGTTTAAAACCCTTTATTGTTTTTAGTTCATTTTGTTTTGGTTGGTGGCTTGATGAGTCGAGACTCAGCAACCTCGCTAGCTCCCGGGTTCCGGTTCCACCCAACCGATGAAGAACTCGTTCGTTACTATCTAAAACGCAAAGTCTTAAACAAGCCTTCCTTCGATGCGATATCTGTTATTGATATTTACAGATCCGAGCCTTGGGATCTCCCTGGTAATTTTAGTTCGAATTTTCTTTTTCGTTTGGCTCGGTCATTTTGTTGTTTAATTCTTCAATTTTGGGGTTTTTTTTTGGTCCTGAATTTCAAAGTTAGGAATTGGGTTTTCTTTTTCGGTTAATTATATGTTAAATTCATGAGTTTTGGGTTAAATTTCAATTTTTTGCTCTAAAATTTGATTATTGAAGATACCCGGTTTGAGCTTAACCTTTTTTTAAGGGTATTTTTTCTGTTTCAAAAAGTTTAAATTGGTATGTTCTTACTTGGTCAATTATATAGTTAAATTCCTGAATTTTGGGTTAAAATTTCAATTTCCGCTTTAAAATCTACTTTTGAAGATAACCACTTTGAGTTTAAGCCTATCTGAAGGCAAGTTTTTTTGAAAAAAATGGAAAAAGAACATTCTTGAAATTGGTTATTCTTGATTTTAATTTTCAATTTTGTCTGCTTAAAGTTTAATTTTTGAACATAGCCGCTTTGAGTTTACGATTGTCTTTTATTTGCAACTAGATTTTAGGGTTTTTATTTTTTAGTTGTAAATCAAAATTTTGTTCTTAATAGATAAGTCAAAGCTGAAGAGCAGGGACCTAGAGTGGTACTTCTTCAGTGCACTGGACAAGAAATATGGGAATGGGTCGAGGACCAATAGGGCAACTGAGAGGGGCTACTGGAAGACAACTGGCAAGGACCGTCCAATTCGCTTTAGGGAAAGGGTTGTTGGCATGAAGAAAACCCTAGTTTATCATAAAGGCCGTGCCCCACGAGGTGAAAGGACTAACTGGGTAATGCATGAGTACCGCCTTGCTGATGAGGAATTGGAGAAATCTGGAATTCAACAGGTAGGATTGTGGTCTTTTTTGTAGCATTTTAGTGTCTTGTTGTTTGATATTTGTTTGGGAATTAACATTGGGTTGTTGGGTGTGGAAGGATGCTTTTGTGTTGTGTAGAGTATTTCAGAAGAGCGGGTCTGGACCAAAGAACGGGGAGCAGTATGGGGCACCCTTTATTGAAGAGGAGTGGGAGAATGATGACACAATTTTCGTGCCTGGTCAACATGCTGTGGCAGTGGATGAAGAGGTTGCCAATTATGATGCTTTTGTTGAAGTGAATGATTTTGATGAGGTGTGTGTTGTTTTGGGCACTTCTCGGTAAATGCTTTTGTTACTACCAAATATTTCTGATCTTTTCTTGGATGAGAATTAAATTTCAAGAAAATTGCTTTTTAGTTTGTGCTGGAAAATGAAGTGCGTATGTGGTGTTTTTGTTTGTAGAGTTGGGTCAGGGATGTCCTTACTTTTTTCTAGGCTTTCTTTGTGATCAATTTGGCAGTAAATGTCTCCTGGCACTTCTTTGAGACAAATCTTTATTAATTTGGTGAATACAATGATAGTATGTAGCATTGCTAGATCAGACATTTTAGCTATTGATGAATTGGCTTCATTGCTTAGATGCTATCCTTCTCTTTATTACTAGTAGGCTTGTCTGTGTTCTCTTCGTAATTAGTTTGTCCTTTTTTTCTATCAAAAGAATCTATGTAATTAGTTTGTCCTTTCTTTCAATTGAAAGAATCTATTTTTCGTTTAGTTAGTAATTCTACCACGTCTTTTCAGCCATGTTTTGTACTAATTTGATGATCAAAATTCTGAAAAATGTTGCTTCTTTCCAGAATCTTGACATTGGCAATCCATCTGAAAATGCTGTACTTCCACAGAACTTCTATCATGGGGAATCAAGTAACCATGTTGAGTATTCAAGGGAGTTTAGTGAAGACTATCAAAAGCCACCAGGCAATATGCCTGAGAATGCATTACTTCCTTCAAACTTCTATTATGGGGAATCTAGCAACCATGCTGAACATTCAAGGGAGTTCACTGAGGATTGTCAGAAGCCTACAGTCATACATTCCACTGAAAGTGATTCAAAGCCACATCATGAGTATGTGTTCTCTGATTTACCTCAGCCAAATGGGATAGGCACAGTTGCAAAACCAGTTAAGGATGAATATGTTGTTGAACCAATTGAAAATGTCAATCCTGCTGACGATAACTATTTGCTTGATGAGCCATACCTGGATGTTACTGATTATCTTCCTGCCAATGATGGATATTTCTTGGAAGCTAATGATCTTTCAAACCCCATTGACCCAGAATCTGATGTTTTTGACCTTGAAGAGTATCTTACATTTGTTGATGCTGATGACCAGCCTCTGGCTTTTGATTCTGATCAAATGGTGGGTAGTGAGATCCCCGTTTCTCACCAAGAACCTCTTGCCCAAACAGTACATAATTCCTTCTTGTCTTGATTCTTTGTCTTAATACGTGTAGAAGTTTTTGCAGCTTCTTATTAACTTATTATTACATGATAACAGCATTCAAATGGAGGAACTGAGCAAGTGTCCAATGCAAGTGAACATTTGGAAGAACTTGGCAACAGTGATGCATCCTCTTCGAAGCAAGAGTTGGTGCCCACAAAATTTGAACCTGGTAAGATGTTGGAAATGCTTAGCACTTTATGCCTTTTTTCCTTGTTATATTTCAGCATTGTCTTCATTTGGGCTCACTTTTGGTGTATTCTTTATGGTGCAGGTACCAAGTATCCATTTCTTAAACAGGCCAGTCACATGTTGGGTAGCTTTCCTGCTCCTCCTGCATTTGCCTCTGAATTCCCTTCAAAAGATGCAGCTCTCAAGCTAAATTCTGCAGCACAAGCCTCCAGTTCTGTTCATGTTGTGGCTGGCATGATAAGAATAACAAACATGACTTCATCTAGCAATCAGTTGGACTGGTCACATGGCAAAAATGGGAATGTCAATATTGTTCTTTCTTTCAGCTTGCCACAAGGTGATGTTAACTCGTCCAATTTTCTGCCAATGGCAAGCTTACTCTCGGGGAAAACAGGGTCTGTTCTGGCAAGAGGGTGGTTCTTCTTGATGTTCTTATGGGTTTTAATAATAACTGTGAGTTTGAAGTTTGGGACCTGTATCTATACCAGGTAACACATAAATTAGTGGAGTTGGCTATGATTCACCCAAACACATCAATTGGTTAAAAATGTTGGGTGGTATGTTAGTTATCCCTATAGGTTGACTAGGCAGCTTGGAGGTTCATCATTTATTTTCTTGTTTTATGATGATTGCCAAAATGATAACCTATACCTTTATTATTTCATTGTAATCCTTAAGAATTGCTTAGATTATGTAGTTGTAAGGTACTACATCATACGTAAAAAAAAAAAAAAAACTATGGGTTTGTAACTTGTAAGCCATCATACATTGATTGCTTGCTTGCTTCTTTTCCTACATTCCTTTTCAGATTTTTTTGCATATTTGTTTACAATGCATGTTGGGATAAAGTTATTAAAAGTTCTTTTGCATTGCTATATTTTTGGGGGGCTTTCTGAAAGGAAAGCATTTGCATGACTATTACGGTTTCCATCATCATTTTCTACTTCGTTACCAAATGCTTGTATTCAAAATTCTTGAACGATGGATGCATAATAATACATTTGTATGGGTCTTAGCAACTGTATTTGTATAACTGGATTTGTTGTTTGTCATTTGCTTGCAAGAGCAGATTCTTATATCAACCAAGACTTTTTTTTGTCTTTTCTTTTGTTCGGAATAAATGGAATCCTTTTGCTAATCTATGCATTTGTAATGAATGGATGCCAAAGAAATTTTCCTTTAAAACTTTGGGTTCAACCAAGAACTGGGAAATTCTGTGCTTTTACTAATGGCCAAAGAGGGAAGAACCCATTCTCTCCCTTCGTTTCATTTTGTATCTTCTGTTTTTCCATTGAAAAAAATTTAATAAAATATTGTTAAAGGCTTTTTTTTTCCCTTGCGTAAACACAATATTCGAGTAAATCATATGGTTAATTAGGTTCAAAAGCTTTATCATACAAATTCCAGAAAAACTTAAAGCTTCAAAAACTCAATCTAAGCAAGTGCAAAATGCTGATTGATTTTAAAAATATGTTTTCCACATTTAATCTTCATTTCTACAATATAAGTAATTTGAAAAATCTCTCTCTTCAATTTCCTCATTAATATTACAAAGTTGCTAGAAGTGGGTTTCCAACTTTTCCACTAATTTGTCCAAGGAAAGAAAACTTTTCCCCTACATCTGGCATTTCTTGTTTTTCAATTTCCCATATTTAGTTATTTATCTTATCTTATTGTTCATATTTAGTGGAAAATGAAAAACATTTTTCTAAAATTTAAAAGGTCCTAAACATTCCGGTGGAAAGTTTGTGGCACTAATTTCAGCTTTAGATCAGAGTAGTTCAATTCCTCAGAAAGAGACAGTCAAATCGCCTGCCTCGAAAGATAAGATGCTTTTCCAGTCCTGGAATAGCAGCCAGCTCAAACAAGCATGTATTCAGCATTGGAGTATAAACCCCACATTTGAGCATTGGTTAAATAGACTGTTTTGCTCTTGCCGCAAAAACTGATAAATAAACAATTGGCTTCCAAGAATAATGTACTTGCCAATGTATATGAGACAGTTGTTCAACGGTAACCAAGATGATTCAGACTTATCTGGTGCAATGGCCATGGTTCATGGCAAATGTAGCCAGTTAACTGGCAATCACGATATAAGATCAAAGGCACATGCTGGAGACTAGTGTTTTATATTTTAATCACAATCTACCAAGTGGGTAAACATTGACATGTTTTTTGGTATTACTAGATTACTACCTGCTATGCTACTCATACAATGAACAATGTAGTATACATGTGATTTCATTTTCTTCTTCCTTTTCATTTTTTGGCCCAACAGCTGATTGTGGTAAATGGACAAATAATTGGAAGAAAAGGCTCCACCTGATTTACATTTCTCCAGGAAGCATTGTATCCTCAGGTAGATCACAGTAAGCAATACCCTGAAAGAGAAGAAAAAAGCATTAAATCATTGATCTGCATCTTTCAGCAATAGTGAGAACAATGTTGTTTCTTGACATTTAGTCGTTTACCTCCCCTGTAAGATGGGCCACACATCTCTTCTCAGCTAGCAACTCCGCTTCTGTCTGGCAAATTCGTTGGTGTAACAATGTATAAAATTAGTGCTATAATGTATGGATGTAGTGTGCTCATTTCATACTGTGATATTCAAAAGTTCCATATTCCCCTTTAGGTCCACAAAATTCTTGCTGGAAACAAAAGCTTACCTTTTTAATTCGGTTTAGTAGATAGTCATCAAAGATCACATCCTTGACAAGTTCATAATCACCATCTCCCTACGGAACGGAATTCAAAATGACATTTTAAAGTTGCCTTAAACTCTATATAAGAGTGAACAAAAGGATTTCAAGAAAAGATAAAAGAAAGTCTTTGATTTCCTACTTTTGATCTGCATGGCATGCTGAAAACGATATTCTCCACTATACCGTATGGATTTCCATTGGTATAAACCTACATTAGCATTGAAAGAAGTAAGAATGGAAATGATTTGAAACAGCATAAATACAATGTACAATCTTGTTCAGCTTAGAAAACTGCTATGGGTTTTTACTCTCTATGCAAAACAAAGTACAGTATACTTGTTCTCAACATGAGAAATAGCGTAAAGAAGCTCAAGTCAAACACCTATATTAGACTAAAGGCTTGAATCAAAATTTTCTGGCTACACAGATATATATGTTTGGAGTTATATACAAATATGCACGTGGGCACATATGCAATATATTCCCCGTTTACAATGGAGACTATACTCAAAAATTGTAAAGGTAATGGATCTCAAATATACAATTACTTCCAAAGAATTTTCCCTCTTTATAGAAGGTTGGGTATCAAATTATTTCTCTGTTAAGGTAAAGATGGTGTTAATAAAGGCAGAACATGCATGCATGTGATCATGTATACTCTGCAGGCATGAACTTACTCCAGAAGAAAACCAATCACCCTCAGGTGTTGGAGTTATTAAAGACTTGATGGCATCAACTATTGACACAGCAGTAGATGCAGCTGAAGATCTTCCCCATTTCTGAATTAACACACCACCTCTCTGCAAATCACATTATTGCATTTAACTGATAAAAGATAAGGCCCAAATAGCTCATGAAGTTTTATTCAGCATGGCTTTTCAGAGATTTACTTAATGGTTCCATATATCTTACCTTTTGGACCATTTCAGTGAACTCCTCTTCTAACCATTTGTGATCCTTGATGACCTCTTGGACAGGTAAGCCACTGATTCTAGCATTTAGGAAGTCTGGAACCTAGTCAAAATCACATACAGAATAGCTTATGACAAAGTCTTCGGAACCTAATCTATGCATTTTCTAAGACAGTTTTTAATACCTGAGTGGTTGAGTGATTTCCCCAAATTGTCATATTTGACACTTGATCATAGAAGACACCAGCTTTTAGGGCAAGCTGCAGAAACAATTGCTTTCATGTAAAACTGTATTTTTATTATTATTTTTGCAGGTGAAAATTAATAACAAACAATTACTGGAACAGGTATTACTCAAGCAATACATATACCTGGCATTTTGCTCTATTTTCGTCCAACCTAGTCAAAGCATGAAAATTCTTTGCAGGTATATTTGGAGCATTTTTCATACAAATTAAGGCACTGCATTAAAAGAATACAATAATGAATTAGAGGCATTAAAGGAGCCTATACACTTGGGCACCAAGCACAGTGAAATAACAAAGATATGATGCATATCATTTTGACAATGAAAGCAGCAGCAACAGCCTTAATGGCAAAGCTCCTTACTTGGTGTTGCAGGGGTTGCCCACTACTATCACCTTGACATTATGAGATGCAACAGCATTGAGAGCTTTTCCCTAAAACGTTTAGAACCAAGGTCATGACTGCTGCTTGATTTTAACATGTAATAAATAAAAAAAAAAACCAAAAAATATGAAAGCACCTGCTCAGCATAGATCTGCCCATTGATGTCTAACAAGTCAGCTCGTTCCATTCCAGGCCCTCGTGGCTTTGCTCCAATCAGAAGAGCCCATTCAGCATCTTGGAACACCTCATATGGATTTATTCCAATACTAACCTCCCTCAATAGAGGAAACAAGGAATCTTCAAGTTCCATTGCCACTCCTGCACGCATTAGGACATCAATTTGAGGACATCAGTTGAAGAGAATGGCAACAGTTACAGAAAGAGTGTCATTGTTTATGTTCCTTGCATCAAAAGAGTTTCAGGAGGACCATTTTCTCCAAGTACAAGTTACTTCAAGTCTAGAGTTTTTCACAGTAAATGCTCCAACAATAGTTTGGGTGTGCATAAAGTTCATTGTCATAGATACATATGCAGCTCATGGAAATGATACCCATTTTTCTCAAGAAATATACAGTTTTCTTCATTTTGAAATTACAATTGACATCTACTTAGTCAAAATCCATCGTAAAAATAAATCAAGAGCCGTACCTTCAAGAGCCTGTATTGACCTTTCAGATCCCAATAGTTTCAGAGCAATTGGCTGATTTGGTCCAAATACCTCACCAGATGCAAGCTGGAAGAGCAAAACAACTTAGCTACTAATATATCTTAAATACAAATTTCATGAATTATGAAGGACTATTTTCTCTAATGAAGATATCCAGGACATTAATGCAGTATCGTAAAAGAAACCTTTTCATCAAGATACTATCAAGCATCAACCTCAATATTTATTAGTGGAGCATATTTGGACATGGTGGGGGAATATCTCCTTTATTTATTTCCATCGCATTTAAGCAAAGAGGACAATTAATGAGATTAAGGCTAGAAATTTGAAGGAATAGGAAACTATCACTATAACTACTGTAGAATAATGCCCTGGAAATGGTAACTATAATATAATTTGCTGTTAAGATTTCGTTATCTTCATTCACTATATCCTACGGGACATTTGGATCCAAGCATGCAGCTGGATTGAACCAAGTCTGTGTTAAGTAAGTTGTTTAACCTCACATGATACTTAACTTCACTGGTGCACACAATCCTTCCTCAATAATAACCTTTTTTTAGTATAGTCAGTGTTATAGAAGGGCATCTGGTTAATTGGTTAACAGCAAGTATAGATGATGATGAATTCACAGAGGAAAAGCTATAAACATATAAAATGGAATAATACCTAAAAAAGCTCCTGAACTGTTCAGAAAAATTCAAATAAATAATTATTCTTTTATTTCAGTAGAAGAATAAGGACTTATTTGAATTTTCTTAAATAGATCAAGGGTTCTTTTAAGCATTATGCCTAAATAAATCTTCAATGGACATGAAAGGGATTTTAAACTTAAATTGAAGTTACTTACTTTGAAAAGAAGATGGTTGGAGATCATCCCAGCAGCGCCAGAGACAGCTATATTTACTAATTTCTCCCAGGATTTTGTCTCCTCTTCCTGTTAACAATTGCAACGATGATATACGGATGCCACCATAATTTAAATAATTCAAACAAACACGATGCCAGAATCGAAGATGACCAAGTTGTGGGCAAGGAAAGAAAAAAAGGTTCAGGTGACTAATCTGTGGGCTTTAAATTGAAAAGCTTACATGAGTGAAATGGTTCCACCACTAATCTCTTTTATTCCAACACTATTGAGGGTGAGATGGAGTTTAATCTCATAGCAACTCAAAATAGAAAAGTATTAGCTAATGAACAAGTACAGAAGTAATGAAGATGACACACATTGACAAAGAAATTTGGTGAGACTATTTACTATGCTTTTGTTTCATACTTACTTTTATTTGCTATACTAAAGAGTTGCTATAAAGAAAAAGCAACTGATAGAGAACAAAATCATAATCAGTAAAAATGAACAGACGATTAAGATGCAACACATGAAGAATTGTTCTTCATAAAAGAAAAATCATGCACCTTGTTACAATAAATTCTTGATTCTTATTTCTACAGAATTTTTTTTTTGTTTTCATATGCACTTTTTGACTCCAAAAGCAGCAAAAAGAATTCAGAAAATCTATCAACGAAATAATACCCCAACATCAATGCCCTAACACTACAACCGTTTTCCATGGAACTATGAAAGAAACACACGCACACACAAAAACCTACTAACACTAATGAATTAACTTAATTCGGCTGCTGGTTTCAAAACATGTTACAATATTAGACAAAAATTAAAAAGGAAAGAGAAAAAGAAAAAACATACAGCTTTGAGATCATAAGTGACGCAGAAGACACCATAGCAAGTCTTCCCCTTGGGACTCTCAGCTTCTACAGGGATCTGGGCTTGAACTTGACTAAGAAACAAAAACAAGCAAAACCCCATCAATTTAAAAAAGAAAGAAAAATCATAAAAGATGTTCGAATTTAAGTTTACAAAGGGAAAAAAAAAACACTTACTCTGATGTAACAGAGCATGAGATTGTAGCATTCCGGGTTCTGGGTGTGGGTCGAAACGAACGGCGAAAATGATGAGAGAAACGTGAAGATGCAGAGGAGAGTGAGAGCTGTGAGGAGTGATAACGGGTTGCGGTTTTGGTGTAGGAAGTTGATAACTCTGCCACCGCCATTTGCAGCAGAGTCCTTGCTGGCTGTAATTCGAAAGAGACAGAACCAAAACAGAGGAAAGCAGCGGAACAGAGAAAGAATATAATCTTTCTTTGGAAGTAGAAATAAGGGGGGTTTTAGAGAGGACAAAAGGAAAAGACCTTTGGCTGTAAGAGATGCTTTGTGCAAATGGAGGGAGGGAAGAGGGGAAATAAGGGGAAAAGAGAGGAAAGGGTAAGGGAAGGTGGATCATTTGAAATATTAGTATAAGGCCATGCAAATGACACTTGTCATCAAATGTCATCCAAAATCTCAAGTCCTATAACTTTTTTTTTTTCTATTTTTAGTTTTATTTTGAAGATTAAACTTTGGTTTTGGTGGGCTAGACTTTCTGGAGGTAGAGAGTTAAGGGCCTTTGACTCTTGATCTCTCTAATGTGTTGTTTATGGTAACATTCTGATCTCTACAGAAGGAAATAAAGTTATTCTGACTTTTCAATCTTCTTGCTTTGGCCTTGGCCATTTTGTTATTCTTTTTCCCAATATTGCCGTGGGCTTCTTGGCTTGTAAATAAGATACAACAATGGACTCTATTCTAAAAAGAAGAAGGAGGAGGCACAACCCTATTGTTTCTGACTTTCCTAACCTTTTCTCTAGACGAAGCTTATTCTCTTATAAAATTCAGCACATTAACATGTATCATAAGAAACCAACTCCTTTAGGAAGATTTAGCATGTTTTCTAGTAAAAACCCATGTGCCATAGCACCCCCAAGGAGACAAAAGGAGGCTAGTTAGTCGAATTAAGCCCACAGAGAAAGAAGGCCAACTTAAGCCTAATTTGGTTTTCTTGTGGCAAGTGAAAAAGTTCATGTTGAAAAAATATATATATTTTTAAAAATTATTATGAAAAGTATAAGTTAAATTTGTGTTAATTTGCAGTTGGGGAAAAAAACCCAACCCAAAAATTCTCATAAAGTAAATTGCATGATATTTGATATTGCATAAATTGTCAACATCCAATTACTATATTTAATTTTTATGAGTCTCATAAACAAAATCATAATGTATTTGTATTTATATATGTATGTATAAATTTTAAAAAATAAAGATAACAAAAATATGACATCGGAGGTTGTAGTGAAGGTGAACGCAAAATATTCCCAACAGCCAAAATCCAAAAAATTGAAAAGGGGATAGTGTGACATCAATTTGGGATTTGGAGGCATTGGTTTTTGCTTTAATGATGTTTGATGTTAAGTTTATTGAAATTGTGACAAAAAAATGGAATTTAAAGATAAGAAATGGGTGGGTAAAAAACATACAACATGCTTGGTTCGATTCATAGGTGCAAAGATATTATAGGAGAAAATGCAAAACTCCAATGGGGGTTGTCTCTATCTCTTTATTGCTTTTGGTGTCACTTCAACTAGCAGCCGCTGCAAATGTGCTCAAAAACCCTTTGAAATTATCTTCGTATCTTGTTGTCAGAAGCCCCACATTATGCAAACACAAGGAAATTTCACCATTCCAAGCCTTTGCCATCAAAGCTTCCGATGCCATCAAGCGATGGATTCTTTTATAATAAAATAAAGACATAATATTCTAATAAGTTCTTAAATTATTCAAATAAAGTTTTATTCTTTTATTATATTTAATCAAATCTCGTATTTTTTTTGAATCAAATAAGTTCTTATGATTAATGATTGACTAATTGTTATTGATAAAAATGTCATTTATCATTTTATATTTGCATAGTATTAACATGAAATTGATGTAAAAGATGAAAAATGTCACACAATCATATTATCATGTCAAATTAGCATATTCTGTCATCATTATTTATGATATACTAACATACTATATCATAATCACTTATGATATTTTAGCATATCACGTTAGCGTAATGCGACATAGAATAACAAATGATAGTTTAATTAAGTCGAGTATTAGTTATAAAGGCTTATTCGATTCAAAATAAAAATTTTAAAAATTTATTTAATTCAAAATAAAAGTATAAGGGTTTGATTGAATATAATAAAAATATAAAAACTTATTTGAATTTTTTTTGAATAGTTTAGGGGCTTCTTTGTATGTTACACTTAAAATAAATAAATTTAATAAGTAATTTTATCTTAATAATATTAAGGCTAAACATTTGCCAATTCAAAACGAGTTGGGCTGGAAAAGCTAAAATGACCCTATGGCCCATGAACAAACCCCTGATACATCATAGAAAATTGTAGAAGTGATCAAAATTGGACCAAGCCAATGATTTAATCAAACTGAATACAATTTGAGTAAAACCGTTTGATACAATTGGTCCGTTTGATCTACCAGTCATAAAAGTTCACTTCAATCAATTTATTTGATCGATTCTCGATTTTAAAATTTTTGAATCAAATCAATTAAAAAATTACATAAAATATTATATTATATTTATATAATATATATGCTTTTCTATTTAGTATTTTCTAAGTTATTGCTAAAGTGCTAGTAATGAGTAACACCCCCACCCCATTTCATAGTATATAACTATGTAGGTTATCTTACTTTATGGATGCTAATTTTATTATTTTTATTATGTTAAATTTTGAATGTTAAAATTGAAAGGTTAAAACAATTGAATGTTAATTTGATGACTTATGTGAAAGGATATAAATGTTATGATTTATGAGAGTGAAAGGACAAATTTTATGTTTTTTTTAATATTTAGATATTCTTTGTATATTTAATAATTATATATAAAATTTATAAATTTCAACACTGTAATTTGCAAAAGGTAAAAAGTGAAAATTTTGATTCCTTTGATCTAAAATCAAATCGATTGAACCATTTTAATATTTGGTTGGTTCAATCCTTTCTTTAAGTTTGTTCGATTCAATCAATTTTTTGAAAAAATTTGATCTATTTAATGCTTGATTATAGTGGATTGAACTGACCAATTGTTCACCCTTAAAAAATTGAACGTTGAAAGTTTCAAGAATGAATTCTTTGGTTAGGTATTTGTTCTCCCCATGGAATTTGAGATGCTAGAGTGAAGGATACTGGAAATGAACTTCAAAACAATCTAATTTTTAAAGTTTTTACCGTTAAGTTATGATTAATAAAATTAGTAAATGATTATTGTTTCATATACACAAAGAATTTTTTTTATTCAGAAAAATGAAGACTTGGAACTCGATTTTTTTAAGAAAAGAAGATATATGTATTTATTATTGACTTAAATGCTCAAATGTTATATGGTTGAAACAACAAACCACTTTTTTTTTTTTCAGATTTATCATTTATCGAGCAACTTTTTCTTCCCTTTTTACTTCTACTTCTTTTAGGTATAAAGCAGAACAAGCAAAATCTTACAAAATTTGGTCTTATCTCTTAAATATATTATATTTACTTATAATTATCTCTGCATAATCTAAAGCGAATATGATTTTTAGAATTTTAAAGATTTCTTATACATATAGAGAAAAAAAGAGAAATGATATACTTACTCTGACACTATGTCAAAGAGACATAGAGCAACAGAAAAAAGGAAACAAGAAAACAGACAGTGTCTTAGTACAAACATATTTATCATTAAATGTATATGAGTATTTGGTTTATTAATTAGTGCATGATCTCTACTTAAAAAATAATGTTCATATCCTCTTTTCTCAACTAAAAAAAAAACCATATTTATCACTAAGGTGTGAGAAAACATAATAGTAGTATATCAAGTCTATCATCTTATATGTTCACCATTTCACCTTAAAAAATATCTTGATTTCTATAGCTTCAACAACCGTCTTTACTATTATAATTTCTATTTCCAAGTTAAGAGGAAGTATCAAATTTCTTTGAATGTCGTGAATGAAGTTCTAAGCACTAGTTTTTTAGCTACATTATGGCTTGTCATCTGTGGAGATTGGCTCATTGCTCTAGTAGCAATATTTCCGACTATTCCCTCAATTTGCCCACCCCGCTTAGTTTTTGTTAATATAATTTTTTAAATTTTGAAACTCATGTTCTTGATTTCAATTCAATCTATCTGTAAATGGTAATAGCTAGATTTATTTATTTTAATTATATATTTGTATTGTTAATTTAAATCAATATTTGATGTAATGTGCTTTGTACATGTAAACAACAATTATATATTGGACATAGAGTTATAAATTTTTTTATCGATATATTTTAAAAAATAATTATATATTAAATTGAAAATTGGTGTTTTGTTTATAAAGACGGTGAAAACTTAGTTTATTATAAATACAAGATTCTCCTAACAGCAGCTGAGGTAGCACAGCCCCGAGTGGGTGGTGTGAGTACGGGCGAGAGTTGGGGTGGTGCAATTACGGGCTTGGGCAGTAGCATCCCTGTCAGCAAAATCTTGGGCAATGGCTTAGTAGCAATGTAGGTTGAGGTGTCCTAGACTTGGGTGTTGATAAGTGTATTCATCTGGCTTTAACGACAACTGCATTATGGGCTTCGATAGTGGTGCAGTCTTTTTTTGAAGAGTTTTTTTTTAAACCGACCTCATGCATAAGGTATTTTTGATAATAAAATTTTTCATAATTTTAATTGTTTTTGGTCAAGAGAATTAAACTTTGGACAAAATTACCTTTAATAAAATTGACCAGTTTATTTGGCTCCACATCTCAATCCGAAATCTATTAGTCAAGTATGTTTAAGTTTGTGTCTCAAACTGACTCATATTCTTTGAGCTTTTCTTGTCAGACTATTCATCTCTTGAGTATTCCTTACTAGAAAAAAATGTTTAAGTATTTTGAGCATTTTTGAGTAGTTTTTGATACATGAAGAAAACTTTTGAGTGTTTTGAGTATTTTTAAGCATTTTAAAGTGATTTTTTATATATGAAGAAAAACCTTTGAACATTTTGAGTATTTTTTGTCAAGTACGCATATTCGTTAATTATGTTGTTAAATGGAATATGGTGTATCATTTGAAGTTGTTAATCTTGTTAAATGAAATTCAGTAGTTTTGGTAGTTTTTGGATATTGCGTAACTAGTTTTTAAGTATTACATGACTAACTTTGGGCATTGCATGACTAATTTTTAGGTATTGTGTAACTGACTTTGGGCATTGCATGACTAGTTGGTACGCATTGCGTGACTTGTTAGTAAGGCATTACGTGACTAGTTAGTAAGGCATTGTGTGCCTTAGGTATTCATTAAAAATTGATCATGCAATGCTTAAAAACCAATCACACAATACCTAAAACTAATCATGTAATGCCTAAAAATTAATCATGCAGTGATTAAGTCA